AATGGGCACATGAGCTCCATCAGATTTTCGTCCTCTTCAGGTTCAGATATTACAATCGGTCTTGAATATATTAACTTAAGAAAATCATCACGACCAATCCGAAGAATGATGGTTTTGAAGAGGGAGACACCACAAATTTGTGCCCAGATAATGAATTCAGAGAATATTCAGGTATAGGAATATTTGTCTGGATGTATGACGAATTGATATTCATCATACAAGTGAAGAAAAATCCTGAATTGAGAAAACCGAATCACGAATCTACGATTTGCCCACACAGCACATGACATCCATTGGACGTCCATTTTGAGTCCATTTTGATCCCAAACGTCCAAGTTTCGATAATAAAGCCTCCTGTTCACCAACTGTAAGAGTTCATTTGATTCCTCTTAAGGTAAGACCATCAATACTCAAATGGTTATCTATATTTTGCTTTCATTCATAATGATATTAGCTTGGCACAAGAAAATGAGAGTCTTCTGAAAAAATTTTCACCTATCAAAGGGAGACCTCATATCTTTGTAACAAACTCGAAATTTCTTGATTCAAGAACAAAATTGTTCAACTATGATGGGTTATTAACTTCACAATAGAAGCATTTTCTTGTTTCAAACTAACTCTAATTCTTTCTTCGACCAAAACGTACTGTGATAATTAATACAAATTTATTAGAATCAAGATTTTCTTTTATGAATAGGTCATGAAAGTTTTGTAGGAAAATCAAGCGAATATTTGGTTGGACCTATTCAAGAGATGGTTGAATCATTGGCTGTTTCACATTGAATCAAGAAATCTTTCTATCTGTGTATAGCTCAGTGAAACGGTAACGATTAGGACCCAATCCGGGAAAAATTCAAGTAGTCGGTTCTTCTGTGGATTTATATGTTATTGGAGGTGCTGAATTCGAATCTGAATTTTGCAAACAAAATTTCCTGATATTAGCGAGAAACAGCGGAATTTTTGAAATTTTTTCTGTATTTTGCCCGTAACTCGAAAAGCATTCATTATATCGAAGCAACCGCCCATTGGAAAGTTGAAGTAGATAACATTTCCTAGATGAAATTGTCATTGCTCATGGATGTAGCACTAAAGGGTGCGGAGATAGAGCCACTTGAAAAATGCATAAACATATTTTTGTCTGAAGGAGAATGCATATTCTCAATTTCAGAAGTTTTTATATTTTATTTTCAAACTCTTATCGTATGTGTTCAATGAATATAATTCGATGTTCGTCGTGGCATATAGCCAGGAAAGTAGTTGAATAAACTGAAAAAGAGTAGATATTTTCATCACATAGAGAATGCGAATTCTCAATGTATTGCTTCATATGAATATATATCCATTTTTGTATGTCCATAATTCATCTGAGAATATTTCTTCTCAACTATTCCAAACCCAATCAGGGGGTTCAAACTTGAACGATGAAAACTTGTGATTTTTAAAGACCTCTAATCGCAGGTTCGTGATAGAGTCTCAATCCAGAATTTATTTCCACGCCCTGTATGATGAATGTCAATTCATCATACACCCAAAAGCAAAAACATTTTTCTGGTGCCGGGAGATCACACTACAAAAAATGAAATCTTTCAACGCAGAAAGGTGTTCTGGATAGACTTAATGCGAGATTTAGAAGATGTTGAAGTCCCCCCTGAGGAATTCGACACTCCTCGTAAAATTGACAGTGCTGTGATTGACTTCGAATAGAAAGTTCTCATAGCTCTGAATAACAACACTCAGATAACGAATATTACCAGTTTTCAAGCCAATGAATTCTCAATTCACTTGAAAAATCTCATCAGAGAAAGAAACAGATTAAAACGAAGAGCCATGAGAACTCTATCGTCCTCATACATTGGAATATATCGAAGCTCGTAATATCGTGAGAACTGAGATTGATAATTTCTGAAACTTAAGATGGCAGACCACACTGGAAAATTTGGATCAAGGTCCTGATGATCTTTGGAAGTTGATCAAGAGAGTTGAGAATAAGTAAACCGTCATACCTCCTCCAAGACGAGAGAACCGAGTCAAGTACAGCAATGCTGAAAAAGCTGAAGTCTTTGCTGAGTCACTTGTACCACAATTCAAGTTGAATGAGTCGCAGGCCCATTCAAATAATGACGTTCACGATTCAAGAATAAGGCCCGCCTCTACGGATAAATTAATCGGTTACATCAAAGCACAAAAACTCAGGAAAGGAATATTGAAAAGGATTCCTGGTAATTTCATCACTTACATATGTAAAATCATCAACGCCATATTGAAACTATTATATTTCCCTCAAAGATGGAAGCATGCCGAAGAAGTGATACTTAAAAAGCAAGGCCAGTATAATGCTCATCCGCAGAGCTATCGTCCTATCAGTATCCTATGCTCTCCATCTAAGATTACTGAGCGAGGGAGGATACAGGAATTTATCGACGACAACGAGCTGATACCAGATGAGCAGTTCGGTTTCAGGACTGGCCACTCAACTGAACTACAAGTCTTAAGACTCATTGAGAACACAATATCGTTGAGAAATGATAGACAAAAGACCCATCTTGCTCTCCTTCACATAGCGAAAGCATTTGACAAGATGTGGCATGATGTTATCTTATACAAAATGATCGATATTGGCTTTCCAGACGATTTGATTCAGATGATGTGTTCATTTCTGAAAAATCAAACTTTTCAAGTCAAACTTGATGATAAACGATCTGGTATCGAGCCCATTGAAGCTGATGTTCCTCAGGGTGCAGTTTTATCGCTGCTGTTGTACAGTTTATATACTAGCGATTTGCCGAGATCAGTGATGTGCAGGAAAGGAATATTGAAAAGGATTTCTGGTAATTTCATCACTTACATATGTAAAATCATCAACGCCATATTGGAACTATTATATTTCCCTCAAAGATGGAAGCATGCCGAAGAAGTGATACTCAAAAAGCAAGGCCAGTATAATGCTCACCCGCGAAGCTATCGTCCTATCGATCTCCTATGCTCTCCATCTAAGATTACTGAGCGAGGAAGGATACAGGACTTTATCGACGACAACGAGCTGATACCAGATGAGCAGTTCGGTTTCAGGACTGGCCACTCAACTGAACTACAAGTCTTGAGACTCATTGAGAACACAATATCGTTGAGAAATGGTAGACAAAAGACCCATCTTGCTCTCCTTCACATAGCGAAAGCATTTGACAAGATGTGGCATGATGTTATCTTATACAAAATGATCGATATTGGCTTTCCAGACGATTTGATTCAGATGATGTGTTCATTTCTGAAAAATCGAACTTTTCAAGTCAAACTTGATGATAAACGATCTGGTATCGAGCCCATTGAAGCTGATGTTCCTTAGGGTGCAGTTTTATCGCTGCTGTTGTACAGTTTATATACTAGCGATTTGCCGAGATCAGTGATGTGCAGGAAAGGAATATTGAAAAGGATTTCTGGTAATTTCATCACTTTCATATGTAAAATCATCAACGCCATATTGGAACTATTATATTTCCCTCAAAGATGGAAGCATGCCGAAGAAGTGATACTTAAAAAGCAAGGCCAGTATAATGCTCACCCGCGGAGCTATCGTCCTATCGATCTCCTATGCTCTCCATCTAAGATTACTGAGCAAGGGAGGATACAGGACTTTATCGACGACAACGAGCTGATACCAGATGAGCAGTTCGGTTTCAGGACTGGCCACTCAACTGAACTACAAGTCTTGAGACTCATTGAGAACACAATATCGTTGAGAAATGGTAGACAAAAGACCCATCTTGCTCTCCTTCACATAGCGAAAGCATTTGACAAGATGTGGCATGATGTTATCTTATACAAAATGATCGATATTGGCTTTCCAGACGATTTGATTCAGATGATGTGTCCATTTCTGAAAAATCGAACTTTTCAAGTCAAACTTGATGATCAACGATCTGGTATCAAGCCCATTGGAACTGGTGTGTCTCAGGGTGCAGTTTTATCGCCGCTGTTGTACAGTTTATATACTAGCGATTCGCCGAGATCAGTGATGTGCAAGATGTCGCTTTTTGCTGATGAAACGGCAGTTCTTGAATTTTCGACAAATTTCGAGCAAGCAGCTATGAACCTCCAAAGCTGAATTCTCTTCAGGAGTACTTCCTAAGATGGAACATCAAATTGAATCCTACAAAAACACAATTGGTCGCACTCGGAAGGGAGCGGAGGCCTCCCAGAACCAGAATAGTCCTGGATGGTCATGAGTTAGAGTGGTCTTCACAAGTTAAATACTTCAGTGTGTGTTGAGACAATAAGGTCACCTGGGCACATTGAACGAGCCATTGGAGCCCTGTATCCATTTCTGAACCGACCAAGTAAGTTGCGTTTGAGACAAAAATTTAATATTCATATCATGGCTATCAGGCCAATTTCACTGTATGCCTCAGTAGTCTGGAGCCACACAGCTGAATCTCATATCACCAGATTACAAACATTACGAAACAAAATCGCGAGAATGGTGACAGGATCTCCTTGGTATTTTCGGAATAACCAGATCGCCAGTGATCTGAAACTCCCTTCAATCGTGTCAGTCATTAGAGAACGAAACATCAAGACTTTCGAAAAAGCAGAGGTTCATGAGAATCAGCTTCTTCGAAATGCAGTTGATAATGACCCAGGTGATCAATCAGAGTTCAAAAGACCGAGATTGTCCATAAACTAGAGAAAAAAATCGACATTATGGCCAAATTTACTATTCTCAAGTTTTTGATATTTAATTAATCCGTCCCATCTTTTTCAATTCTCAGAATGTATTTCTGAAACTCATCTGGGGCAGAAGGGCTGTTCGCATCAAACCTCTATACTGTTTTTATTTTGTTTCATAATAGATATCAGAATAAGAGGGACTCTTCCCTGGTCTGAATCAAATAAAAGAAAGATATGAAACCACAGAGAAACCGACTACTTGAATTTTTTCCAAGTAAAAATACCATTTGATTGGACCAGTATTGACACCTCACCTGAACGTTTCATAGTGATGCCTATCCATGTTCCCCGTGAGGAAATCGAATACCGACATATCCATGAGATCGTACAACCTGCGGCCCGTGTCGTAGGGTGGTATCTCTCTGACGAGCTGGCAGTAGTTGGGGTCCGTCTCCCACTGAGCTTTCCGACGCTTGTGGTAGGATCTCCTCCATGGATGCCGCCACACCTGGAAAGACATATATTATCAGATTTAACGTCGAAACGAGATATTGGAGGGAAATTGAAGCTGCTATAAATTTAACGTGCGGTATCTTGCGAGGCACGGTTGGGTGGAGTCTGCAGAGGCGTATTTGAGATTTTTAATAATGGAAATGGATCCACATGAAGTGACTTTATGAAATGAAGTGGCGACAATTGATAATGTATGATGAATATCGATTCATCATATAACCAGAAATGAATGCCCAGATGACAGTGGTTATGTCAACAAATCATAATTCTCAGATGACGGTTCGTTGTAGGTTTAGTTATATTATAGGAAGATGAAAATTGTGTATATCATGAACAATGACTGAAACAATAACTGGACTTCAGGTTACTGATGAGGATCTGATATCCGAAATGAGTTTTACTCAAGTGAAGTCATATAACCTGTTTGTGAGAGATATAATTCCCATATCACTGATACGAATGATTTTTTCGAAAGTTCATCAAGATCAGAGTTCATACAAGGTTACTTCTCCTATACATTTCAATTTCCATTTCAATACTGTACATGTTATATTTTTATATCATAATACATCATATTATTCTATTCGAATCGAGAGATAATGCCAATTCTCAATTTCAGAGGATTTTGATTTCTCATGCTCTCGTTTCGGATATTCAACAGATATAATTCTATGTTCGACGTGGCAAATAGCAAGGAAAGTTGTTGTTTTCTGTTGAATACTCAGAATGATATTATACGCATATCTTTATATGAAGGAGAATGCAAATTCTCTACTGCAGAAGATTTTGTTTTCAAATTCTTAACGTGTATGTTCAATAGATGTAATTCAATATTCGTCGTGGCATATAGCCAGGAAAGTACTTGTTTTCTATTGAATAAACCGGGAAGGAAATTAATATTTTCATCGCATGGAGAATGCGAATTCTGGATGCATTTCTTTATATATTTCTTTGTGTTCATAAATATATCTGGGAATATTCCTCTTCAATTCAAGAAAAAATTCTTCAATATTTCCAATTTTCTCCACAGTTTTCCAATAGCTGAGAGCAGATTACTTACTTACAGGTATGCATACTGATGACTCAACACTCGAAAGCTCTCTGCTATTTTACATTCAATAACATTTTCCTCTCTTTGGTATTATGAAACTTTAAAATGGTCAAATATTTTTCAGAGCTTCTCTATAGAATCTGGTCTAAAAACTTATTGTGAGCAAAAATGTCCAATTATTTGAATGATTTTACTGGTAACATTTTGTTTTCCTGTATGCATCTGTAATAACTTGCCTAGTTTTCGAGATACAATGGTTCCAGAAGGTTTCAGAAAAATTATTTTTTTCATCAATTACTCAAAAAACCCTTTGGTTTTTCCTGAGGGTGCATGAATCGATTGATCTATTGAATTTCAAAGATCATTGGTCCGAAATTTTCTTTAGGAATCAATAAATTGCTATTCATACCAAACATCAGGGTGGAAATTATGGGAAGTGGAAGTGAATATCAGTCAAAATTTCACCTTCCCTGATGACAACAATCCTGGAAAATAACTGAATAGCTATACAGTAAGGAGGTCATGCAACTATCTATATGATCACCCATCAAGAGTAGCAAAGTTCCCTACCTACGATTATAACATTGCCCTACTCCCATTATTAGATGCACTAACTAGCGGCAGCAAAGTCAGATACCTACTACAGACACATCGTCTAATATCATCATACAGATGCACTCGCTAGTGACAGCAAGGTTCTATATCTGATAATCGCAGGTCGGCTATAATCAGCAAAGTCGACTTAATAATCACAGGTGGTAACTCGCTTGCCCCTTATGCTATTAGAGTTTCTTGCTGGGGTAATTCGATTCCTGACTATCGTTGATAGAAATTTTCCTCAGTGCACTGATGACCTAACACTCGAAAGCTCTCTGCTACGAGTAATAAATTTGAATAAATTATCTTGCACGAGATACAACACTCCTCTTCATTGACAGACCTTAGGGCAAGATCCACAGTTGAGTTTGTATACCCCTGTTTTTCGAATTCAGAAGTTTTGCCTTCATTATTTTTGATAAACCTTCCCATCGTGTTATTTGTTCTATATGCTACTTTAGTGTCTTGTTTATGTATAAATGAAGCTAATTTCTCAGTTGATGATCCGAAAATGAAATTTTTGAAAAAGGAAACAAAGTCAACATACGCCAACCATAATATCAGGAGAAAATCATAGTTTTGATGATAATTCCGAAATTCTAGACGTAAAAAATAAAGGAATAAAACCCAATCATTTGAAATCATGAGAAATCAACAAACTAATCATTCTAACATTTCAATTAACGATCAACTAGACCTCAATAGTTCAGCACTATTGAATTTGTTTTCTAAGCAGGTAAAGATATGAATCTTCTATCATCCCTTTCAAGTTTATGTAGTACACCTTATTTGGATGTAGATATTGTGCCAAAAGCCCGTTCACCCAACGAACAGCGAGGCTCTGGAACACATTGCCAAGGGAGGTGAGCTATCAAGAAGTTTATGAACTAGTTTCCCGATAAACAAATAAAAAAATCTAGAGTTTGCCGATCTATTAAAAAAGTCTTATTTTTAGATCAGACTTGCTGAAAACTTCCTAATAAATTGATTTTCATTGTCATATCGCCACGATTTCTCGAAATATTGAAATTTTGTGATATTTTTTGACGAAATGTTCATTTGTCATATGAACAAAAATAAAAGGAATACCAATTTGATATTATGGGATCATAGTAGTTTTGAGACGACAAATCGAATGCGCTGAAAATCAACATAGCATTATATTTAAAAGAATAAAGTTGAGGGCTCTACGGGAAAAACTGTAAAACTGGAAACGTTGCAGATATTATTTTTAGATCCGGCACAACTGATTACACCTGTATACCAAATTTCATAATTTTATGTCAAGCCGTTGCTGAAATATTCGGCCGTTCCGGTTCTTTTGGGAAACCTGTATAAGAAATAGGCAAGCCAAGTTCAGTTTAGTTCATCGTACCAGTATTTTACCTGATGAAGCCACTGTGTTAGCGAAACATGCCGTGTGATTGAGAATTATGTGAAAATCTTATCCTTCGTGAATTCATTACATTTGCCATCGATTTCCATCAAATAACGGCCGAGTCAATTCAGAAAATGAGTGATTCATTCTGACAAGAACAGCCATAATTATTTTATGCCAAACTGACGGACTATCCATGATTACATCCAGACTTCGCTCCGCAGTACATGGTTACATCGTTGAAAACATCAACGCTGATAGACTAATCAGAATTGAAAGACAGCTAATGTTTCCGCCGAGGTTTTAGCAATAAGCACATGTTGTCTCTGGCATGTCATTGGTCAGATCATATTATGAGTGGAATAGTCAAAGTTACATTAATGACAAGGATGATGTGATACTTTTTCGCCTCGTCCGGAAAGTACGTACTTCCCGGACAAGGTGATGCTAACTTTCTAAAAAAAAAACGTCTGGGAAGTGTCAGTTTGTCCCGGACGGTTGCCGAAAATAGTGATTTACGTAACAAGTCTAGAAAATACTGTTGTTTCTGGACGAGTAGACAAAATTCTAGGCCGAGCCGTAGGCGAGTCTTGAGAGTCTACGAGTCCAAAAAATTCCTTCGGTAGCCATATGTAGAATAACAATTCGATGAGACACATTTCCATATTATATTCCTTTGCGAAATACAATTTCTTCTTTATACATTAATATTTGTATCAAATACTGAAATTTGAAAAGAATACCTATACCTACTAACTGCTACATAGAAAATTTCGTATGGACATTTCCAAACTCACTATCGCAGCTGCTTTCGATAGTTTATTGCGATAATTGCAACCAAACTTTCAAAAATCGAAATGTCAACTGATTTTATGTCAAATAGCTGTCAGCCGATATTTCGCTGCTATGGTGATTATCATCCGCATTTATCAAAACAGAGATAGAAATTCAACTGGTGGGCTCACTCTTCAATTATTTCGTCAGACTAACTCTCGATATGAAACAATTGCAAGCGAGTTTTGGACGTGGGGTTCAGGTATTTGCGATAGAGGCGCCATAATCGGAAAATCGTTCAATACCTTGGTTCTGTGAGGGATGAATCTATTTCCATCATTGTTCTGTGGTCGAATAAATACTGTGCTCAACATTTTCATTCAAATTTCAATTCGAAATAGAAGCAAGAAATCTTTTTTGTAGCCGAATTTAATAAGTTTCACTTCTTTCATGACAGTCATGAACCTATTTAAAGCATGAAATCTGATGAATTTCCTCTTTGAAGAACCAGAACAAAGAATGTACAAAATATTGGGATATACCATTATCGAAAATCATAATATGCAGATATGGTAATTAGGTATAATACTCAAAATTTAGAAACTACGGCACACGTCCCTTACGAACACTTGACCCCAATCTCGAAAAGAACCATTCTTCAGCTCAAGAATATTTTTGACATATTGACGTTTCGATCCTTTGATCAGGAATCAGTTCACTGCTCTGATCCAAATCATATACGTATCCAAATATTTATCGGTCGGTAATATGTTTCCTGTGAATATGGATTGTAACCAGGATGAGCTTAGCGAGGTTAACCCACGTCAAGTATGTTTATCGAAGATTTATCAGAGTAGGCGCCATCGAGAAACTTCAAACGACCTCCAATAGGGAGCAAGCGCACCAGTTAAATTTCTATACATCTCTATCAAAACCATATCTACCAAGATTTTCATAGTGACAGTGACAACAACGATGTGCTACTTTCTCAAAGAAAAAGCGTCCAGGAGCACTTCCCGGACGGTTGCCGAAAAAAGAAATTTGTTTATTGGCGGTAGCGCAAACATCATTTTTCCACTCTACAATTTGGCGAAGTTTTCAGAATAAATGCTCTCAAATTGGCGAGTATATGAAAATGAGTCGAAAACAAAATTTGGAACTTGCAGTTGGATCGATTATTACGAATCTATATACC